TTGACTACAGCTGGGACTGGATTACTCTGACTTGTGTAAATCTGGGATTCCTACACAGACAGACCCACTCCTTCCCAGGATCGTCAAATGCCACGCCACCATGGCAATCCTCCCTCATACTTAGGTAAATCCTCAGAAGAAAAACATCGACAGCTACTCCAGGTACATCAGACATTGGTACCTCTTCTTCTCAAGTCATCAATTTTAATGATAAAGAAGTTAAAGACGAACAACCGCCACCCTTCAGTAACTGATTCTCCCTTTTAGCTATAAGTCCTTTTAATTGTGGAAAATCAAATTTCCGTCGACAAAAAGCTCTTAAAACTAAAAACACACGACCTCAAACAAAGAGTCTAAAAGCAAACTACGTAACATGATATCTTGCAGTCATGACACCAAACTTTTCTTTTTCTTGTCCACTCTGTGGTATATTCAGATTACTGTGAGTTAACCTTAGAGAAATCTGATAGTGTCTTGTACATAACTGGAGATTCGGTCCCAACACCTATTATGAAGTAATGCTGTACCTTTAAACAACTGACGTATAAGAATGAACGAAATAAAGAGATTGGACAAAAGTGAAGCATGACATGAACGATCTTTATTGATATCACGCAGTATGTGTACTTGCTTTACTGATAAGGGGTGATCACTTTTACAAGATGTTCTATCTTACACTGATCAGAACGCATCCAGGTACCAGACTGACTAAATTCAACATTCTTTACTTCACAAAAAATGTCATATGTACTCAGAGCGACTACCTCATACACGTGACTGGTCATTCTTATTCAAACATAGGTAAGCCATAACTTTGAAATATCACCTGAACCACTACTGAATGAAACAGCTATTGATATTCTTACATAATATGCAGTATTGTAGCAATACCTCTCACAGTATGAGCAGGTATTATATCCTCGAGAGTAAAAAAGGACTGGAACTTTAACTTATGACTTATGTGAAACTTTACACTTATAGAATAGATACTATAACGTTAGAAGAAAATAAAAAAGGTATGATATATTCATATAACACAACTATAACGTACTCGCTATCTAATTTACTTATTAGCTAACCAATAACAACTCTCTTGGTGTTTTTATATTGCTACAATACTTTCCCCCTAAACTCTAGAAAAATTTAAACTGATGAGCACATCACATTAAAGCTAGACACGTGGAGAATTTCTAGGTGGCTTGGCATGGCCTGGTGGTTAGGACACTTGACTCACAGTCTCCGGACAGTTGGTTCGAATCCCGTCTCCGAACATGCTTGCCTGTTTAGCTGTGAGGGCGTTTTAATGTGATGAGCAATCTCCCTATTCATTGGTAAAGAGTAGCTCACGAGTTGTTGGTGGTGGTGTTGGCTAGCTGCCTTCCCTCTAGCCTATCACTACAAAATTAGGAATGGCTAGTGCAGATAGCCCTCGAGTAGCTTTGGGCAAAATTCAAAAACAAACAAACAATTCCTAGGCATCGTATATCATCAGTACACTATCCTCTAGGAAACGATACAAGGCGTCTAAATTAAAGTACTAAAATATATTTCATAATAATATTATACACTTGAAACAGTTAACAGTGAAGCGTCATTGAGTTAACCCTAAAATTCTCAGTTGGGTCTTTTTAAATACATTTGTCTAAACTATATACATACCAAATTGCTTGTGAGTCCATGGCTAATAATATATATGAATTACACAAAAAATTAAGCAAAATACCGTCAATACTGAATTCAATCCCACTAATCACTGATGGGATCATTTGTGTATTTATACAGAAACTGAGTGATGTCACATAATGTTTTGGTCAATTATCTACACTAAATGTTGTAACAGAAAAAAACATAAGATTACTCAATATGATACAATATGTGAACCCCATCAGAAGTGAATTTATAAGAACAAGTGAATAATTGAAGGTTACAAAGGTTGTAAACCATTAAACAAGAGTAACCAAATTATAGTTAAATTTTATCTTTTTATTTTCTGTAATCTATACTTTCTCACAGATGATTGTAGATACTTTTAAAATGTGTCTTCAAAGGAGTGCTTCCATTTCAATACTGTGTTGTTTATTGACACAGATGAAACTTAAAGACACGTGGCCTACAACAATTAAGATATTGACTTCGGGTAGAATAGAATACGAAAGCTAGAAACCGGGATTCGAAAACCGTGGTGGGCAGAGCACAGATAGCCCATTGTGGTACTTTGTGCTTAACTTAAAAAAAGCAAAAAAAAACATATGAAAGAATGTTACAGCGGCACTACTAATGATAAAAAAACTTCACAAAGACATATCTTGAGCTTGAGCCATTTAGTCTTAATGATGCTTATTATTTTATTTTTTCCCAAAAATCATTTAATTATGAACTATACATTGTTTTTGCTTTTCTAGCAGATTCTTTGAAATTATTGCAAAAACATATATCAAACAAAAAAGGAAATAAAACTAGTTTTTCTGTTTGTTGATTATGCATAAAATATCCACGCATATTACTTTTATCCAAAATTGAAAATGACAAAGTTTTTGCTTTAACCTGAATATTAAGCACCTGAAGAATAGGTCTTCAAGCTTAGATTCACCAGCTTTGCCTGATTTTGATCCTAGAGCCATGTGAAGTTTCCAGGAAACTAAAATTTCCAGTACATCAATCTTTGTCCAGCAATAAAAAATAGGAGTAAATATTCTTTTTCTTAGTGTTATGAAAGTGAAGAAGGAGATTCAGTGGGCACACTTTTGCGAAGTTTAATTGAGAAAAATGTACTTTAAAATAGCTTTCAAAATAACCTTTGTTTCGACATTATTTGCCGTTAAGGGAAACAGCTTCAAAACGTAAGTAAGCCAAATGCAATAGCAAATGCAGGACTGGGTGCTTGCAATGCAAACACCTAGCGACCATCGCCAACAGATCTTTGCTTTATCTCTCTCAAGTTTCCGACATATACTACTCATATTACTAGCAGCTTAAAGCTATGAATTCAATCAGCATTTACTTAGCTGAGGCAGTTGCCTAATTGTTTTTTTATTTGTAAGTGAATAGTTATTCTTGAAAGCATCACATCAGCAATGAGTAAGAAAGAACATCAATTAGTACAAAAAAGTCCCTCTTCCCCTTCATTTGATCATTCTCATTCTCGGTGTTATTTCGTATAGCTCAGCTCAAAACATGAGTATCAACTGATGTCACCAATGCTTCCGGTTCTTTCTCGTACACTGTTATCCTTAAAGGTAACAGACATTGCAGTTTCATGTAATCTACTTGATAATGTATGTAATACTCACAATATCCTGATCTGAATATTACTTCCCTGTTTGAGTCGTTCCCTTTAAAAGTGTAGTTAAGCAATAGTGATTACAATATAAGTGTCTTGGATTGACATAACACATAAAAATAGGTGAAATATATCCATAAGCGCTTTCAAGAAAAAATTCTGCTTTAGCTCAAACAGTGAGTGATATCTCGTAATCATAAACACATAAAAAATGATGAAATGTGAGTAACGCCAAACTGCTTTACATGTTACATGTATGGCATCATTATGGGGTTTCATTTTTGCACATTAAATAAATGTCAAAGGGTTCTTACTACATTTGACCTATGTTAAAAAGTTTGTATTTGTGTATTCTATTTTACTGTTAAAAGAGTTATTAATTATTGAATCACAGGGTATTTTTAAGGGGTTGTGACGTCTGGGGTGCATGTAAGTATTCAAGAAGCAAGATAACGTTTCCGTACTCCCCGACTATTGCAAATGCATAAATTATTTTGATCTTAAATTTGAAAATAACTGACGGATTGAGAACAAGCTTGAAGTAAGGGAGCGAGGGAAAGTGTGGTATATTAACACACCATGAATTTTCTGTCGTTTTGTAATAATATAGTATTATTCTAAATTTATCATTTATTTATGGAATTTGCAGTTTTCACATAAAATGTGGTCAAGAAAGTCGATAAGTTGATTTTGTTCTAGCTGCGTTTGTTCCTTTCTCATTCTCTTGAGGAAAAACCTATTCTGCCCATGGGAGGAGGTTTAACTATTATATTGCATATGGTGCAAGGATGTTGACAGTAGTGTCCTATAATGGTAGATTAGGTGATATCACGAGGTTATGACTTCCCTTGTGTTTCAGTAGTATTGAACATAAGTGACATGGGTGCTACACGTGTCCTGAGAACATAGTATTGTATAATCTCATATGTAATCTCTTAGTTAGCCCTATCTCTTTTTAAGCTCAAGCTCTCAGTTTGATAAGTAAAGTTTAACTTCTTTTTGTGAATAGTAATACTAATTTCAAGTTTGACTTGTAGCAAGTTTATTTATAAGTTTTAGGGGAGTTAGTTATCTAATAATGGTGCTGCCTCTGTCTTTCATCCTGTGCACATTACTGTGATTGTTTCTCAGTATAGATAAATATTTGTTTTCATTGTGTTTTACATTGTGCCCATTCGCTTTCTTTCTCAACCTCAGTCAGAGTCTAAGAACTCAGAGTTATTTCATAAGAAATATCTTGGTAAATCTCCTGTTATTCTGTGGACCTATTACTTCACTCTAAGAAAAATCAATTTGATTTGAATATACCATAACTGTACATCTTGCTTTAGGTTATTAAGAGTCGCTTAGTGTTTACTCTCCAAATTTTTTTTTTTATATATATAGTTGTAAAAGATCATTTCTGAAACTACATGAATAACGATTGCAAATTACTGTGTATGAAAACTTACTTATCTTATCTGGTGTGTAACTAAAAAGGTTTTAAAATTATCTTGATTATCTGTCACTCTATTAAAATAAAGTACGCTTGTGTTTTGAACTATGTATTAGCTCTTATATAGAATTTAACCTTTCAACTTAAATGTAACTTTAACTTATCATTTATCATTATATTTGATAAATAATAACATCATATTTATTAGTAATTTTCTTCTTTAAACTCTGCATTATATTTAGAGTTGTTTCAAATGATTAGTAATTAACTTTGATGTTTCTTCAGGATTTAGTTAAGAGTCATCTTATATTTGCTGTACGAGAAGAAGTAGATGTCTTAAAGGCAAAAATAGCAGAATTGAAGGAGAAAATCTTACGTCTTGAACATGAAAATGGAATTCTGAAAGCCCATGCTTCGCAGGAGGTTTTGAATAATCTTTCAAAAGGAGGACTCCAATCAGTTTCTCAAACTCAGTTGCAACAAAAACCATTAGTTACAGCTCAAGTTTCCTATCAGTCTCAACGTTTCACATGACAATGAATAGTGGAAAAAGTTGCATAAGTTCCTACGTTTAATATGTTATCATATATGACTGAACTTTACTTCAAATAATGTTATGAAAATCTTAATAATTCATGGGTGTGCTTTTATCTGGTCACAAAATATAACTTGCTTTCATTCCACGAACTTTTTGTTGTTTGTGTTAATCAAAAAAAAAGTTAGCTGTACAATACTGTACCAAGTTGGAATAACATGTTTTTTCATCAGTGGCTCAGAAATATTGGTAAAGAGCAGTATCCATTTTTAATTTTTAGTTTGTAGGATTTTAAGAGTATATTTTCATCAATATCATGTTTATGTATTGCAAAGGCCCTTATATGACCTTAATCAAAGAAGGAAAAAGAGCTATTGTTATTTCCGTACAACACATAAAAATATAAAGTTAATTTTGTTTTGGAATTATATTATTTTTAGTAATTTTCTTTTTATATTTTAGCTGGAATAATCGGAAACATAAATTTCGATTAGTTGATTTTTTTCGTGACATTAATCAATTTAGTCGTAATTTTGATTGAACAATTTTTATGTGACTCTAATCGATGATCATAGGAAATCAATTAATAGAGATATTCCCATATCTCGAGGCTAGCCTCAGTATTTAATATGATGCTTTGTCACATTAATTCTATTGCGTATCCAGTGTTTGTCGTGTATTGTTACATCAGTTTCTTAGAGAAGGTGATACTGGAAAACAGCTATTCAAACTAGGTATGAAGCATGTTAAGTCAACTAGAATATCTTATGTGATAATTCAGACAGACTAAAGTCTATCTAACTTTCATTTATTTAACCTTTTATTGTAACAAACTACAAAAATCGAGTGAAGACAATACATACATTATTATTATTTTTAACTCTTTTAAACTCAAACTTCAGTTTATTACTAGACACACCTGTTAATGTAACTAAAATATTGACCTATATATATCCCCTAAATGCGTCTTTGTTTAATATTTCGCTATTACAGCTTCGTCAGAAGCTATCGATATCCTACAGTAATCCTATTGGTAATCCGGTAGAAGCCAAATTGGAAAACGTTATCAGTTACTTGAACTTCAATATATGTGTCTAAAACTGAGGTTCAGATCATATTAAAAATAATGTCAAATATTAAGTATAATTATCAAGAACATGTTAAAGAGTCAGAGTAAATAACATCATCAATTTTTTACCGATACACCAGACAAAATTCAATTTTAAACACAAAAAAATAAATTTGATCAAAACTAATGGTAAAAAACCTCTATACGTTTCGATACAATCTTGTTTCTTTCTTAGTGGTTACTGAGCAAGTAAAGACACGTTATCCAGATATGTGTTATTATTTTATTTGAAATTACAGGTAAGGCAATATGTATTTTTTTTTTCAATTGTCCACTATCTTAAAAGATAAGAAAACAAGCTTTGTAATTATTAAACAATAGTATAGCGCCATCTATGTTTCTGATGTACATATTATAGAAATTTATAGCAATAATCTGATGTCGGTAATTAAAATAATACCAACGTTTAAATCGGAATAATTCAATTCTATAGTAAGTTGTAAAAATAGCTCCTTAAAACAAAGTTTATAAAATTGCATTACATTGCCAGTAAGAAGCATTGTTAGCGCTGTCTTATAACAAATGGTGGAAAATTTATGAATATTATATATTGTGATGTGCAAGCTATAATAGATTGAGAGCAGAATCAACATTTTATTTTATTTATGTATTCTTTCCTTTTAAATGTTTTGTTTAGATAAAAAAGTTGATGCTTCAAATAATTTTTTAAGCCTTGTATATTTTTGTAATTAAAGCTGCTTTAACTATTTAAGACTTCTAATGGTTTGAGGTCATTTACTGAAACAATTCGAATTTATTGATCTGAATTAATTGTATGTTATCATAAAACCTCACAGAAAAAGTTAAACTTTAGGCTTTATTAAAAGTTGTAGCAGAAAGAATAAACTTTATTCTGCATATTAAATATAAAGCACTCCCTTCTTTCAACATATAACTGTTGATGGTGTTGTGTTTTTAAAATAAAAAATTACCTAAATGAATTGGCTATAAGAAAAGTGTGAAAGACAGAGCATTAGACTTTTTTGAGATTATGCAACAGAAGATTATTAATAATATACATATATTCCATAATGGTAAAAAATATGGTGTTAGTCTTAAGATGTTGATTAAAAACGTATAACTTTACTACAAGATGAATAAAGACTTGTCTCATTCGAATTATATAAAACTAACCTTTAAAATATATATGACATTGCTAGTTCTTATAACTGAAAGGTGACAAAGTGATTTATTAATTTAAGACAACAAAATTCCAATTTTATTTCAATTTTTAGATTATCATTGATGTTGTACTATTTTAAGACTTTGAAATTATTAGTGTTTGTTTTATAGAAAAGGTACACAATAGGCTATCTGCACTCTGTTCACCATAGCAAATCGAACCCCGAAATTTAGCGTTGTAAGTCTGTAAACTCACCGCTGATTCTCTGTGGTACTGAATTAATTTAAACTGTAAAATGATACTTTTTTTCTGTATAAAGATTATGTTTTACTTTCTTTGAAAAAGTCTTTGGCTCATATTACACAAATATTGTAAATAAATGTTAATAAAACTTTGGATTGTTAGATTATCTTCTTCTTTGCAACTGCATTTGTTTTGTACCTTTTCTTTATTGGCAAACTTATATCATTAGATGTGAAATGACCTTTCCAGCCATTAAGTCACTGGAATCGGTGCATTCAAAAGAAATGATTACTTGTCTACATTCTTTCAAAAAATCTAGAAGATTTTCTGAACATTGCTGCTAAAGCATCCCAAATATTAAGATGCTTTTCTTGATCTTGGGTTCGATTGGCAAATCGGAGATATATGTCTGGAACCTCATTGGTAGGAAATAAGCCACCAGTGTCAATATAGCTAGGCAGCAGATTTTCCGGGAGAAATATAAGGAAGACAATAGAATAACTTCTCTCTCTTTGGAATGCCTTAAATTATACGTACAGTGAGTGAGCCAAGTGTGTGTCAATTGTGGTGTTATTTTCATTTGCATTTACCAATGTCCCAACCACTCACGTATTTCATTGCACCATTTAAAAGATGTTTAATGATCCTTCAAGTCAAAATTACAGAAAATCAGCTTAAGAAGTATACTTCAGCAAGCTAAACACAGAAAGGAAAACAATTCACGAAGCCATATCCTTTCTAAACATACTTAACTTGCCATTTTTTGGTTAGCAGAAAGACATGAAGCCGTACTATAACCACTCTAGTACTACATTGGCATTATCCTTACAACAAAATATCTGCATGAGAGAAAGCAACACCTTTAAGATATACAAGAATTTGGCAGAGTGGGGTATGCTAACTATTTTATTCACTGGATAGCCAACTCTTCCCTCTGTGGCGTAGCTTTGTGTAGAATATCTGAGAGTATTTTCCTTCTTTTCCATATATTAAAAGGTGCTATTTTCCATCAAACTTTAGTTTAGACAGGTGAATATTTTATGGTCGCCGAAGATTTTTCACACATGCGCATAACAGCGTATGTGTATGTTTTACATACATGAAAATAATGGTTATGAAACGTTATTAACTTGCTATTGACCTAGTTACACATTGTTACATGTTATTCCCCTCTATTGCCACTCACTTATTTATTTTTAAAAAAGTATGTAAAATTATGTACCTTAGTATACTGCAGAAGGTTGAGTACATTATGTTAAAACCATTTTGGAGCCTCACCATACCGTTACAGTCCATTGTCACCATGTGCAATTATGCTCTATCTCAGTGCTTCTTAACTGGGTGAATGGTTTACCAAGGGGTTAATGAGATCAGAATCAGAGTGAATGAGAACGATGGGGTGAAAACTGTAAAACAGTAAAAAAAAAAAGAGAATTTTGAAAATTAACACAAACATTGTGTTATTTCACGACAGCAAAAATAGTTTTTCCCAAATACACCTGTGTGAGCTATAACAGTTTGTTTATTTATATCACTACAATATACAATGTTTTCTGTTTTCGAACAACATCAATTCAGAATTGCTTGTCTAACTATATGGGTGTGTTGTGAAGTCATATTTTCATGCTGAGTTCTGGTTTAAACCGTTTAGGAGTAGCTTATGATGGAAACTAATATTACTCTTCACCTGAGTCATTTTCAAAATGATTTTATGTACCACTTTGACTTCCATTTATATTATGAAATGCCTTAATTTACTGATATTCTTATATATGTATGTAGAGTGTATGAAATTCGGCACAACTTTACATCAGGCAATATGTTTGTGATCATTTTTTTTAGCCCACAATGACTGCGTTGTTTTTAATATGAAGTTCTGTTGTCGGTATTCAAACACCAATCTTGTGTTTCACAAAAAGCAGGTTGTCCGTTTTAACAAGTTTCTTACAATGTGCCCATTCTATATATAAAGTTTTGAATACACTCTGTACTATGTAAAACATTTGGTGCCTCGATTTTTACAAATTTTCCCCAAATGATCAGGCCTGGCATTGACAGTTGGTTAGGGCGCTCTACTCGCTATATGCGGGTCGCGGGCTCGAATCCCTGTCTCACCAAACATATTCGCCCTTTCAGCCGTGGGGACGTTATAATGTGTCACTCAATCCCACTATTCGTTGGTAAAAGAGTAGCCCAAGAGTTGGCGGTGAGTGGTAATGACTAGCTGTCTCCCCTAAATCTTTCACTGCTAATTTAAGGACGGCTAGCGCAAATAGCCTTGTGTAGTTTTGCGCGAAGTTCAAAACAAACTCAACCCAACTGATCATGTTAGCGAAAAACAAAATTTGATATGAAAATAACTAATAAATAATATAAGTCAAATTACCTATTTTGATTAAAATAAATTTCAATGCCATTTGAATAAAACCACAGATAATAAACAGTTTGGATAAATTTCTACTTGAAACATATTTCAAATCAGAGGTTCTTAGAAATGTTGACCGAAGTAGGGAGTAATTAAACACGAGTTATTTTTACATATATATAGCATCTTTTAAAATATAAACATGAATAAAATCGTAGACGTGAAAACAAACATTTCAGGAATTCATTGGTTCTAAAATTATGGATTTTATGTTATTTTATATGTTATTTTCCAAGCATCTTCAGCGGTCAAATAATGTCATATAATCGCCTTTCGTGCATATTCAACACGATATGCAATATTTTTATGTAAATAATTCAACGTCAAGCGATAAGATGTCATATTTATGTTGACTAATTGATGAACTTTGGCTTACTACAATTTTATTGCTTTATTGCATTATATATCAAATTGATGATATCATGTTTGGTATTTCATGAAAGCTAGAATAAGGGAGTCTTATATTATGTGCATTTTCTCTTGCTTCTATAGCTTA